ATTAAACACCAAAGAGGTGAAATGACAAAATGGCACTTCGGTTAGCTCAATTAGCACTCCAGTTAGCTTAAATAGCACCCAGGTCAACAGTGGATAGCTCCCTGTAATAATTTGTAAGGGTTAACCCTTAATAAAGACACCTGTTTCAGACAGAGTCTTGCTCATAGTGGCATGTCATTATTTCAAATTTTAGACATGCCCTTAAAAATTCCCATATAATAAAACTGGAAAGTCATAAAGACCAAAGCCTGGGTACAAGGCAATTTGTTCAACCTAAACAGTATTTCAGCTCACATGTGAGCGGCATGCATATAAAAATGCATTCATGTAGGTATCAGCTTAAGGCCCAGACCCATGGTACAAAATTTTGTCCAAAAGTTTCATGCAACATTTGATTTTCACTTGTGTGGAAGCACCTAACATTGTTGCTCACAATATTTTCAGAAGTAGAACAAGATTCTACTTCTGCATACAATATTACAATAGACCATTTTACAGTTGTCTGCTCAGTGACCTGGCCTCTGAATGGTAGCGAGGCTGGAGGTGACCTTGTTTTGATACAGACCTCACTGGTTTTGTTGGGTAAATCAAGTTGTAGTAAATAAGAAAGGCAGAGAGGTCTGTATCAAAGCCAGGTCACCTTCAGCATCGCTTGCATCCATGGGCCAGGCAACTAAGCACAGAACTGTAAAATGGCCTATCTACAATCTCAGTGGTTAGCAACATGATGCAATAAGCCATTTCCAATGTGCCTTGTGCCTGTGTCAAAATGGGTCTGTGCGAAACCACCATGATTCATATGAAAATATGTTCTGCCTTAAAGTTCATAACTTTTCAAGCAAATCAAACTCATTTTCACATTTTCAGGTTTTGCACGAAGACTTGTTTTGAAACAGAGGAAAAAAGTATCTCGGAAATTGCGTATTCATTGGGATCAATGTAGTACCATGCGTCCAGGCCTTCACATGTAAATTAATATGTTAATAACGATAATTTACATTCAAGGTGTAATATTTGTCACTATCTTTGACAAGTAGATTTCTCGGGAAATCTTATCCATCAATGATGGACTCCAAGGTACCTTTCAGGTGTTTAAGAAGCGGTGCAAACACATTCAGACCCGGACAAATAAGATTGTGCATTTCTGGGCAGCTGTGAGAGGTGTTGTCCATTTTCAGAGCCAACAGGTAAGCTTCAATCGCATCTTCGTGAGTTCCCAGGACATCCCTGCTCGCGACGAAATTCTTGTGCGAGCTGTGTTTCAACATGAGCTTGACTATGGCATCAATTTTCCTGATACCTTTGGCTTTGATTCCCCTTAAGATCTCCCTTGACGGCAACGAATTTTGAAAACGCTGCATTCGCTCGATGATTGCTTCCAGAATTACTGCATAATTCTCCGGCTCGATTTGATCATACAGGTCGTGTTCTTTGAGTTCCGTCAGACTAAGCCTACCAGCATAAAGAACGCACGCATCTCTTACACTCTGCAGTTTGTAATTTTGCGCCAAGATAAGCAGAGAAATGATATCTTCATCATATTTCCGCAGGGACGTCGGCGACGAAATCCGGCCCGCCAACGTGATCAAGAAGTCTTCACATTTCTCGACAATGGACGAAATTTGATACTCGTGCGCAAGTTCCAAAATGGCGCTGTAATTCTCAAGCGTTATTTCGTCGTTTGCTGGCGGATAAATCATCCACAGCAAGGCTTTAACGCTCTCTGCTTGTTTCCCAGGCAGCCGAATCTCTCCTTTACTCTTTTCTCTGAAGTTTGATGTAAACATCTTCTCGAAAACGGGCGACCACAACGCGAGAACATTGCGGTGAACATGGAATTTCTCGTCTTCGACAACTAAAACAACATCACTCATCTTCCAAGGCCTCGAGAAATCCAGTTCAGTTTCTGCCTCCTCTGTTCTCATACGTTTTGCTGCAGCCATTTCTTTTCTACTTCCCGTCAACAAACGAGTATTTCTGCGTGACTTTGTGCCGTGAAACACAGAACAGCGATCATATCACGATAAACCCAACCGAAGTGATGAACGGTGCAAGACAAGTCGATTTCTCGCCGTTTTGCGTGAGAACAAATTGAAAGTGGACTGGAACCGATAATATTCAAGTCTCTTTCCCAGTCTCCTCTCCATTTTTAAAAGCTTTACTAATAGAGATCAGAGAAGCTTTCCCTTCTTTATCAATTCGCCCCTCTATCTTAAGTCTCTATCTTAAGAGTGGTTGACTTGGAATGAACGGATTTAGCAAAAGCGCAAGTTTTCTGCGAGATCTGACTCAAACTTGATGAAACATAAAAATCCAAAACATGCAATTTCTGTACTGGAAATGAATGGCGTTGTAGTGGAGGGAGGCTCTGTGCACATTTTGGGGTAAAAATTGTGAGGTTTGAAAGTCGATATGTGTTCGAATTAGAATCAGAACAACTCAAAACTTTGCCTAGAAGCGTGCAATTTCCATACTAAACCTATATGCCACGGCATTTTTACAGACCGGTCTATTTTTGGGCTCCTTTCCCCGCGAAATAGGTCGGCTCCGGTCTACATAAACGCGCATCGGGATAAAAAATGGTGGCGCGTTAATCTTTTTAATCTTCCAGTGAAATGGTGACGTCAGTTAAAAACTAAGTCCGTGCTTGTGATTGGTCACTGAGGTTCCTGCAGGGTCTGAATTCCCGGTAAATTCAAAGCAAAAATAGATCTGGATAGGTCTGTGAAAACGCCGTGACAGGAATATGGGGTAGTTGCACGCTCCTAGTGATGGGCTCCTGGTAAAGGGTAGGGTAGGGACTAGGAGTATTTCTACTCCCTTCCCCCCTGTGGATGGAATACTAGCGAGCCTATCGCAGGATTACACCCCAGCATTAAATTCGCCGGTACCTATTTATGCGGGCCTGGGTGGAGAGAGGAACTGTGAGAGTATACGGTGTCTTGCCCAAGAACGCAACAAAATGTCCCTGACAAGTCGGCTTGAACCCGGACCTCTCAATCTGGAGACGAACGCACTAACCATGAAGCCACCGCGCTTCCAACTTTTTTCAGTCTTTGGAATATTAAAAAATATCACGCCAACCGGTTATTGTGGTATTTCTCGAAGTATTTTATTTCTTTCAAATAAGGTTTCTAAAAGTTGTAGTTATACAAGGTTGGAGTGTTCGAGGCTTAATATGCCTAAAGCTAAAACCTGATTTTCAGGCGTAAGCGCAAACCCATAATATTATTCGAATAGAAACCAAACTGACACTGAACTTCAAACATCGTACGACTTTATTCAGTTGTTTACACGGATACGAGTTTGACTAGGGAAAAATGACAAACAAATAGAAAATGAATACAACAATAATAAGTGAAGGAAGCTTGGTAAAAAATCAAGAAAACCATAACAAACACGACTTACAGAAATTCCACCAGAATGAATTCCAGGGCAGGTCTTTACGTTCCTCCTTCTCTCATTTGAGCTCTTGTAGATCCGAGATTGCAAGGTAGCTGTGCACCGTAAGGGGGTTTTAGCGTTTCCAGTAAGGGCAAAAATGGTTTATGTTCCGGGGGTACTCCCAAAAAAATTGGGCAGGGGTGTGCGGCCCACTTCCCAAAACCCTTACCTTATTTACGACCAAAATCTGCGATTTTTGCTACCCTTATTATAACCTGGCCAAAAATTCGATACCCCATTTATGGCCTTTGTAGCTGGCATAGCTGCCCTAATCATAAGCTATAAAGGGTTTCTGTTGACGTTCTTACTGATAATGATGAAAAAGTAGCTTCTTCTAAGAAACATACTCAATTCAAGACTAGAGTGCTAAAACCATACCCTATTTAGGACCGAATTAAAATGGCCAAAATCGATACCCTATTAATGACCAAAACGGCTGAAAAACCCTACCCTTTGGGGCCGCACATACCTATATAGCCCATGTCAGAAAGTACCCCCCCCCCCCC